CTCCAGATGTCACACGCAACGTAATATTACCGTAATTGGTATAGTACAGGTGTGATGGTTCAAATACCAAAATGGCAACAGTAACAGAAAGACTTCCCTGGCGGCGATGATAAAATACGAACACAGAGCCTACAGATGAGGTTTCCACTGGTACTGGTATTATTATACTCTGCAAACATCAAGTACAATAACGCGGTAAAACTCCACTACTCCAATAACTAGATACAATTCAACGAGATCCCCGATCTGAACTCAGTGCTGAACAACTCCCCTATATATACCCACACTGTCTATAAATAGACCATTACATCAGCATACATAATGAGTCTGGAACTTACTACCAATTTCTAGAATGTTCCATTACCTTCTATTGCCTCCTACAGTGTTCTATTACCTATTCAACCAGTTTCTAAACAAAATCTAGAATATTCCACCCAGACACAGTACGGTTCTAGAACATTCTCAGTGACACGGAAGTGGTACATAAGTCGTATGCGACACTGTGTTATATAAGTACAAGAGTTTAAGTTATCTTGTGTATGATCTTTTTCGGGCATATTTATCATCAGTTACATGCGAGTCAAAAAAATGTACACGATAAGACTTGCATATAGGTAAAACCTCCAACCTACCTCACACAAGTAAAATAATTTGTCAATACATGAATGTTCTGAACTCGATTCCTAATCCTGACCCCGCCCCTCCATTACCCCCATAGTGATTGTATATGTATTCTTCAGGACATTTATAGTTAACTATTTAGTGATTGTGTAAAATATTGACGACACATTATTTCTTGGAAAGACGATCCAGCAAGGAATGAAAAGCCCTCAAAAAACTGGCCATCACTAGATAACATATATTAACTGTGATCTGTAGTATGTGTCCAAGTATACACAGGTATAACGAAATCGCTACATCAGCTAACAGCATGTCAGCCAATGAAGATGAGAAGGATTAAACATTCAAGACTTCCACATTATGAAGAGGCATTTTAATTTATTGCTGACTGATTGTGTACACCCAAAATTTTAACGTACGAGAATAAAACAAAATCATTTGAAATGTACACTGATACGAGCACTATGGAACCGGGAGCTGCGTTATATCGGGGCTATTAAACCGATAAAGTCAGGGAAGTTGCATGGTGAGTTGTAATTTGTTCCAAAGCGGAAAAATAATTTGCACATAAATATATATTGTATCCAGTGTTAAAATGAACCATGGATTAGAAGGAATCATAATTATTGCTACGGTCATAAAGTTAAGGTTTTCTAGAAATGACTGGAGAAAGATGGGGGACAGCATTGTCTAATATTAATTTTGTTGATTAGCTAAATATCTGAAAGAAACAATGTCGTCACAGACGCACAATATTTATCAATGGATATGTTGCTTTTCCCCGTTACAAGTAAGTATACATCATCATGGATGTTGCATGTTTAAACAAGAAACTACAAAAAGTTAACGTCATTTGTAAATTAAAACATAATGGAAACATATGGTGTGGTGAAACATCCAATTTAGAACAATTCAGGGGGGCAAATGTCTTCGGGATCTTGACCGACTCTTATTAGTCTGGTTGTTCCGTTTGCACTACCGTCTTCAATAAGGCGCACCACAGTCGATGTGACGTCACGTAACCTACAAAATACACAAACAGATATTAGCATTTATAACATGAATAAGACTATTTCGTCACCAACTGTTATCCCGTTGCGATTATATCGTGACCTGCCAATATTGTACCATATGAGAGCAATGTATTAGCCATTATAATATGACCAGTGTGAATCTGATTGGCTGAAGCCAGGGTTTATATCTGACAATATATGACTCGGGCCCTGTTCGATGAATAATTAATAAAAACATAGTTTGTTTCAATATAAATATACATTGTCATAATTAATTTTGAATACAAAAAAGTTTTGGGGTTGAACTAACAGTGGGGAATCAGTCTACCGAATGTCCTTTAAAGATGTAAATATCTTACAAAAACATTTGTGCCTTATTTGTTTAATTATTTTAAGGGATATAATTTCCAGCTTTATTCAAAGTAATTCAGATATTTTAGTATAAAAACAAATGCCTCATTGCAAAAAAAAAGTGCTGCATTTAGACGTGAATAGATTCATAAAACATGCA